GAAATATCATATGGAAGACACACATGAATTAGTGCTGGAGGAACGTTGACATGGGACTGATGGAAAAGAAATGAGGCTGATGAGATGAAGAATCAGGGGTGCGAGGGACTAGTATAGCGAGACTGAGAAATAATCATATATTAAAAGACAGCAGCATCATAAGAGGGAGAGAGAGACAGCAACCAGAGTGACAGAGGTTTATCAGTGTGCAGTCCTAACAACCTCTTACAGTTTTTTCTTGATTGCTACACACATTATATTTTTTAATTGCTTAGTTTCTCAGAAACACAAACACAATTCACAAAACCACACACCCAAAGTGCAAAACACCTCATTTCTCCTGCTAAGTGAAGAACATGCACTCAACACAAATACACACTTACCACATGCAAACTTTTGCACCAATATAACACAGCGTCATTACATTCATAATACTAGTGATGACCACCCAACTACACACTGCTGACATAATCTAACAGCATTTCATACTTTTAATGGGGACTAAATGCTCTTTACATAGAGGGTTCTGCGAACAAGATTGCTTGAGTATACAGAGAGTAAACAGTAAAAGAATACAAATAGTTGTTGAAAAAATCACATTTTATGTCAAATAACATTTTTGCAACATGCCATCTCAGCATATAGTTACAATGCTTCAGATCTCTCTAAGCCTGTGATGCAGCTTGTTGCCAAAAACCCAGTTAGTAACTCTGCTTCTGTGCCTCATTGGAAATCTCTAGCCTTCCAACCATGCACCTCTTTTTTTCTCAGTCCTTCAGATAAACAACAAAGACATAGTGGTTGTCAGTGTCTGTGGTTGCCAATATAACAGTAAAGTTTACCACAGTACATTGTGCAGGATTTTTGGTAACAGTTATAGTATGCACATGCCAACAATTCAATTGCGTAACGAAGTAAATACGTCTCAACAACAGATATAAGCACTGATATATTATGAATTATGACAGAGCATAACTGTTAACCAACCTGTTTTTAAGTCGAAGTGTTCGGATACAGAGGCAACAGTACATCGACTTAGATTAAGGTGAACCCACTGTCCAGCCTCTCACACGTCTCAAACCATGGTTGAAAAACATTTCATTTCATTAGAGAGTGGCTCTTCCTCCTCCTCTCACTCTCAGCCCCAGCTCTTCCTCTTCCTCTTGCTCCTTTCTTTCCATGTTGGCTTCCATTGTTGCAGTAAGAAAGTACTCACCTGTGGTCTTTTCATAGTGCACCGGGCCAGTGGTTACAATGGTGGAGCCAGTGATAATACAAAGTCCAAGGGGCCGTTGGACTTACCCTTAATGTCTACCCTCTTGCTGTAAGTCACGGCGGTACCGAAGTGGGCCGGTTCGAGAGTCCCGGGTGTGATTTGTAGTCCAGTCCGCCGCTAGGTAAATTGTGCATGTATTATAAAGTTGTGTATATTTACATACCTGTTGCAAAAACTAAGAAGCTTATAAACATCAGGTTTAAAACTAAAAGAGCTTTACAAAAAAGTAAAACAATTAAAGATGTTTGGAGCTTTATTTGAGTTATTAATTTACATTTGTTGTCAAAGGGATGCTGATTTGAATCCATACAGTTAGGCTACGGCATTTCCTGTTTCTGCCGGAGAGAGGGGAGTTTGAGTTTGTCCCAAAGCTTGCCGCTGTATTTATACCCTTAACCCTTAATGGAGGGAACTTAATTCAGCTGCGAGTGTGGCTACAGACGGAGTTGACTCCGTCACGGAGGGTTAGGGTCGAGGGGTTGATTTGGGATTGGGCCTAAATAGGAGCAAGGGCAGTGTAGTTTTTACAGTCACCGTTCACTTAGACAGTGAGAGGGAGGGGCATGATCGGGTTTTGTCCCACATGGCTCTAAACAGCTCAATAGGCACACACACTGTAGACACTAATTAGAATAACACAGACTAAAACAGCAATGTACAGCCGAATCAGATGATTAAACATGATCTTAAAATATATTTTATATATATATATATATATATTTTTTTTTTGCATTTTGTTGTAATCATTATTTGTAATACTTTCTGCTGACACTAGGTGGGGCTGTGCTCCCTAATGGCCAGTCGCCACTGCCCATGATTCTTATTAAGATTAGTTATTACACTGACATGTATAACTACAATTATAGTTCAGCCTCAAGCAAGCATTGTGCAGATAGACAACGTATATTCAGCCAAATAATATCAATACAAAATTGAGAAAAGTCATTTGAAAAACATTTTTCTCTCATTTATTACATTTGGGGCAACTCAGATTTTATTTAACACCACCTCACATTTTCAGATGAAAATAGTTTTCAATTAAAAAGGATGAAATTGGAGAATAATTTCTAACTTCAAGCATCTTTTATAAGACTAACAATTAGAAGTCAAAATAATAATAATAATAATAATAATAATAATAATACAAAAATAATAACAATAATAATTATTATTATTATATACCGCTACACAGTAGGATATAATCCATACCATTTGTAACATGTGTAAAGTCTATTATTTACCCTTCAGGAAATATTTGAACACAGTTGTCAATAAAGTTTCAAAGACTCTTTTGACGTTGCTACATTATGCGCATGCGTACTAGCGCAGTACTGCAGAGAGGGATCCCGCAGCTGCTGCTGTCAGGAGCGTGCAGGAATGTGTGTGTCTCTAGTCTCCTTGTGAGTGAAATGACTCTAGGACAGCACTGCAGGCGTGTCTTCACTCCGTGCTTTGTAAGTAAACACAGTATGAGTGTGTGTTCTGCTCCTGTCACTCATAGCTCTTGAAGTAATGGCTCCAGAGCGAAGAAGGACGCTGTCTGTCTGCTGGCTAACCCATTGAGGACATAAGTTACCCGGGTCCACATGGCCTCTGTCACCGTCAGCTCGGCGGCTGAGAGCCCCGGGAAGAACCGCAAGTCCTTCTCGCTGCTCTTCTACCGGGCTGTGCGGGACCTGAAGCCGGTGTGGATGCTGGAGGAAATACGGACGATGCAGACCTTTTACCAGGAGGACGCCAGCCAGAGGAGTTATACCTCTTCGGAAGCATTGCTATACGCTATAGTTCACGACCACCAGGCGTACGCCAAGTACCTGCTCAGCCGGTACACCGACCAAGCGCTAGCAAAGCCCGGGGAGCGCTTCTGCTGCTGCCCGTCCTCCGCCCCGCACCTGGCCATGGCTGTCCGCTACGACAGGCGTTACATCCTCGGCCTCATCTTACAGGAGACACACCGGATACCCAGCGCGACATCCTACAGAGACGGGTGTTTTCACATGGAGGACGGCAGGACCCCCCTGCATCTAGCCTGCGAGCTCCTGCGGCCCGAGGCGGTCATCATGCTGCTGGGGAACGGAGCGGCCCCGCAATCCCCGGACCACAACGGCCTGACCCCGCTGGATGTCATTCTGGAGAAACTCAGTGAGGGTAAAGAAGCGAGATGCGGGGAGGGGAGGCAGTGTCTGGACAACCTGCTCATGTTCATACCAAAGGTTCACTTTAAGATGCAGGGGGCTCTGAGCAGGGAGCCGGAGCGATGGAGCGAGGTGCTGGGGGAGGAGACGCTCAGCTATCTGTCCCGAAGTAGCCCGGCGCCGCTGCTCCTCACTGCCATGCAGACTATACTGAGGCAGCTCAGCCCGGCCACATTCCCGGACAGTCTACACCAGCTACCCATCCCCTCCTCCCTCAAACCCCTGGGCCTGCCCGAGGGCCAGCGCGACATCAAGAGCGATGTGTAGCAGCAGTGTGACATGATGCATGCTCCATTGTAAACAGTTGTGTCTTAGCATGATGTGTGAGAGTGTTAGAAGACTGTATGCAGAGGAGGAAGAAGTACTCAGATGTTGTACTTAAGTACTAGTAGAAGTATCAGAGTGTAAAAATACTCTGTACAAGTAAAAGTCCTGCATTCAAAATGTTACTCAAGTAAAAGTACAAAAGTATTGGCATCAAAATATAGTACCAAAAGTACTTATTATGCAAATGGCCCAATTGTTTTATAATGATTGATCATTCAAGTGTTATCTAAACTGGTAAAGGTGCAGCTAGTTTGAATGACTTTGACCAGGCTTAACTACATTCATATTGAAGTGTTGAATATAATTTAAATAATTATATCTCCAAATCTGCAGAGTAACTATAGGTATTCAATAAATGTAGTGGAGTAAAAGTACACAATATACCTCTGAATTGTAGTGGAGTAGAAGTACAAAGTAGCAAAAACTGAAAATACTCAAGTAAAGTACAAGTCCCTCAAAATTATAAAGTGGGCTACAGTACTTGAGTAAATGTACTAAGTTACCTTATAGCTCAGGCTGTATGTGCACGAAGCAGTCATTATATGGCTGAAAATATAACCCTTAAAGGTGGGGTAGGTAAGTTTGAGAAACCGGCTCGAGATACACTTTTTGTTATATTCCATGGAATGCTCTTAACGTCCCGATAGCAATGACAAAAAATCCATTAAAAAAATGTCATCTGTGGAAGGCGTAGTACTGTAAAAAGCACCCAATCATCTGAGCCGGCCCGGCTAAAATAACTGGATGGCCTACCTGCCTGTCAGCCTTCCATCTGTGCACAAACGTATCTCTTGCCCTCATTGGTCATGTGCACGTTTGTGTGTGTTGGAGGAGGGGCTCTGTAAGGAAGTGGCAGATTTGTTCCGGCTGTGTATTTTCAAAATTCTAGCGCACTCGAGCTGGTTTCTCCAAAATTACCTACCCCACCTTTTAAGGTAAGGGGCATTTAAATGAACGTTATCTAAAAAATGACTTTTACCCACTGATTGAGTTTACTGGAGGTTGACTGGAAACCAGGGAACGAACAGCCATATTCTGAAACTTTTTACACTAATCCAGGCTTTATTATGCATTCTAACCTCATTCTGAAGTGTTAGCCGCAAATACTACTGCTACTGAAGCCACTGAGCAGACCAACACTGAACACAGTCTACAGGTACCCTACTGTTGATTTGTTACTATTTATTTAAACAGCAAAGGGATCTTATAGATCATTTGAGTACAGCCAGGTGACTTGTAAACTCTTTGGATGACTGCTTTTTTTTTTTTTTAAATAAATAGGAATCTTAGTGATCTCAGTGTTTCTTTCTTGACCTCATACATGTAATTGAACACATTTGTTTAGCTGCTGGTCCTTATCACCTAACTACGTCTCTCCACGAGCAAGTAAGAAACAGACCCTGCTCAAACTGCACTGTTGAGATGGAACATTTGTTTTTGGCTTTAGAGTTTGCAAAATATATCGTATCTCAAGGTCCAGCGTCTCTTCTGGAGCTGTCTACCCCACCCACTGTCTCGTAGAAGAGGACAGGGCGACCCTCCTACTCTCTGTGCATGTTTAGTTGTCAGTAAAGAGGGATTACTTTGTAGTAACTCAATTAACAGAAATGTACTTTAGTGCACCGTAAAAACTGTAGTGATTTGTTAAAAGCCTTAAAATGTGAGATGAGGCCGGAATAATAATGATATTATAATTCACCATATTCAAAGTAATTACAGACATATTTTCTATTTACCTCCCAGGACATGCTGAGTCGGCCTCACTTGAAAATGTCAATTTTACCACACATCCCATCTTTTCAATCCAGGAGGCAAACAAAATATATTCTTCGTTGTCTATCTGTGACAAATACTTCCAATGTATCTGCGCTGGAAGCATTAGGGATATAACGATATACCGAATATCGCGGTAAATAAACGTCCCAATACCGTCGTGAGACTGACAAAATATACTGCGATTTAATTTTTTTATTTTTTTTTTATTTTTTTTTTAAACACTTTTTGTTTTTAAACCTTTATTTAACCAGGTGGTCCCATTGAGATCATCGATCTCTTTTTCAAGGGAGACCTGTCCAACATGGCAGCAAATAGGTTGCAACATGAACATAAAACAACAGATAACACAAAAGGACATTGTTACAACCCGGCTCCTGGGCTGCAACAAAAAGCAGGGAGGCGAGACAAAGGGTAAGAAAATAACAATTGTTTATTCTCAATAACCAATGTAGACGTATGCGAGACGTATCCGGCTTGGCTCCTCTTGTATTCTTCCAGCAGGTGCGGCTCATCAGTCAGGTGCAGCTTCATCCGGCAGGTGCAGCTTATCAGGCACTGGAACCTGCAATCACCCACAAACACACACACGAACAGACGGCACCCCACGTGGTGTGGAGGGGTCGTCACAACATCATATTTACAGGGCTACATGTACTTACCTAGAGACTTTGACAAGTACCAACAGTATATTTATATCTCGCCCTGTCAATAAGCCTCATCTCCTTGGCAAAAACTGTATTGTTTTTAAAGTGGTGAAGAGACAATGTACAGTTTGACCCACTGCTGTCACCCATGGCCAAAGCATATCTCTCCGTCCCACTGAGGTGGCGTTAGACTTTTTCGCTGTCCGTCATTTTGACAGACAGGATCGTAAAATATCTGTCATAATCCCTTATTACCCGTCGGATCTGAACAGTTCACGAGAGAGCACGCTCGTGAACTGTCAACGGGGGGGGGGGCGGTGTTATGCCGTGTGTGCATGCACCTCGCGGGTGCGCGCACAGCGTAAAGCAAAGCCTCCCAGACATGTATTGATCTGTACGGCAAAGTACGGTTTGGAAACTATATCATTTCCTTTTGGAGGGCATGCATAACACGGCATAACATCAGAGCCTGGCTCTGGGGAAACGTTGGCGCTGTTCCGAGTTTGTTCTAATCTGTCAAAATGACAGACTGCTTTCAGATTTTTCCGTCATTGTTAAATAAAATATTCGGTTAACGCGACCACTGCTGTCCCAGCAACATCAGTACCAATCGAGAGAGTTTTTTCCAGAGCAGGGGATATTGTAAATGCCCAAACATCCCAGCTTATAAATACCTGGAAATGTGGACATTCTCATATTCCTAAAAACCTGTCTGAATACTGAGTGAGTGACTAGTGAGTTTGAGTTGAGTTACTTGAAAAACTAAAGTGAAACTTGATTTATTGTATTGCAGGGTCTGATTATTAGCTTGTTTATTTGTGAGATGCAGTGGCACAAAGAAAATGCTTACTTTGTTTGGTAGTAGCCTACTAGTAGGTAAAAAAACACTGGTTTTCTTGTTCCAGTCTGTTACTGTCACTTTGTTTTTGACACTTTAAAATACTGCTATCCTACAAAAATGGCTGTAAAATCAGATTTATTATGTAAATAAAAA